TCCAAATTCTAGGGTATAGGGCGTTACTTAACATTTCAATGGTCCTAGGCCAGGATTTTATGAACGGGAGGCGTATTTCCGGTTGCCCTGGTATAGGGTCCATGGGGAAGGTCAGAAGCTCCTGGATTTCAACAATTCAGCATCATATTATGAAGTATTATATCAGACTCCATGATAGAGAAATTGATGAAAATAGTCTGCCTTCGGATCATTCAAATAATGTATTGATTAACATGTGGATATCAAATCTTTGGAAGAAGTTGTAAATTCAGTTAAAAGGTTATATGAAACGGGCATGAAAAATGAAAAATAAATCTTTAACGATAGCTTTTTCTGAACTTTTGATATATGTATATAGCCATACCCGTTTTTGTCGAGCCTGCGACTTTTGTCGCAGAAAGCTCGACATAGGGATAGTGATATGGCGGCGGCTACGGCGGCGGCGTTAGCTAACTTCTTAAAACCTTTATATTTTAGAAGGTGGAAGGTCTGGATGCTTCATACTTTGTATATGGATGCCTCATGTTACGAAGTTTCCGTCAGTCACATGTCCAATGTCCTTGACCTCATTTTCATGGTTCAGTGACTACTTGAAAAAAAAGTTCAGATTTTTTGTAATGTTAAATTCTCTCTTATTATAAGTAATAGGATGACTATATTTGGTATGTGCGTACCTTGCAAGGTCCTCATGCCCGTCAGACAGTTTTCACTTGACCTCGACCTCATTTCATGGATCAGTGAACAAGGTTAAGTTTTGGTGGTCAAGTCCATATCTCAGATACTATAAGCAATAGGTCTAGTATATTTGGTGTATGGAAGGACTGTAAGGTGTACATGTCCAACTGGCAGGTGTCATCTGACCTTGACCTCATTTTCATGGTTCAGTGGTTATAGTTAAGTTTTTGTGTTTTGGTCTGTTTTTCTTATACTGTATGCAATAGGTCTACTATATTTGGTGTATGGAATGATTGTAAGGTGTACATGTCTAGCTGGCAGGTGTCATCTGACCTTGACCTCATTTTCATGGTTCAGTGGTCAAAGTTATTTTTTTGAGTTTTGGTCTTTTTTTCTAATACTATATGCAATAGTTCAACTATATTTGGTGTATGGAAATATTTTATGATCTAGTTGTCATTCACACAGTTTTTTTTTTACCTTGACCTCATTTTCAAGGTTCATTGCTCAGTGTTAATTTTTTGTGTTTTGGTCTGTTTTTCTTAAACTATAAGCAATAGGTCAACTATATTTGTTGTATGGAAGAATTGTTAGCTGTACATGCCTGCCAAGCATGGTTCATCTGACCTTGACCTCATTTTCATGGTTCATTGGTCAATGTTTAGTTTACTTGGTTAATGTTGAGTTTATGTGACAGTTGTAATAAAGCTTTATATTTAGGACTATCAACATTATTATCAATACTTAGTAAAGAAGGCGAGACATTTCAGCATGTGCACTCTTGTGTTAAAATATACCTTTTCACTGTTTTGGTCTTTTGGAAAATGTTGTTTGTGCTGTATTTAGACCCCTTTACCAAGAAATTTGTTTTGCATGCACACGTATAAAAATTGCGGTTTTTATCCAACGCAATCATAGGTTTGAACGTTGTTTTCAATTAAGTAGATATAAAAAGATGTGGTATGAGTGCCAATGAGACAACTCTCCATCCAAGTCACAATTTATAAAAGTAAACCATTATAGGTCAAAGTACGGTCTTCAACACGGAGCCTTGGCTAACACCGAACAGCAAGCTATAAAAGGGCCCCAAAAATTACTAGTGTAAAACCATTCAAACGGGAAAACCAACCGTCTAATCTATTTAAGAAACGAGAAACACTTATGAACCACGTCAACAAACGACAACTACTGAACATCAGATTCCTGACTTAGGACAGGTGCAAACAATTGCAGCGGGTTTAAACGTTTTAATGGTACCAAACATTCACCCTTATCTGAAACAATAGTGTAACATTGTATTTATAATACCCCGTTCTAGATAGTCAAATCTGACCCCTTCCAATGCAAGGCGAAAAAAACATAACCCCATTTCAGACAATTTAGCTGAAAGTGCAACCCCCGTTTGTCTGAACATACCCGGTATCATATATAGCGAGTATCCCCCGGGTAGATGTAGAATGACCGTTGGGGAAGTGTCACACAAAACAACCATTTCATGTATAGATTTACTTACCGCTTTGGTTGTTTAAAAAAGGTGTCCAAGTCATTTTTTTTTTTTTTGAAAAGGGGGGGCGTACGCCCATAACGCCCTTACCTGGACCCGCCCCTGCAGACAAATAATAGTACACAAAACACAACATGAAAACTCAAGACTTAAACTGACCAAATCACAAACTTTAACATGAAAACTATGCATATGTTTCAGTCAATAGACCATGTATGACTAAGGGGTCAGGCACAAATAATCTCCATGACAATGAGATGTGCTAATGCAAATACACTCTGCATACCAAATATCATTAATTTATCACAAGTGGTTCCCCTTAAACTGACCTGATCACACCAAAGCAATTGTTTTAAAGTCAATAGCCCATGACTGACAGGGTGGGCCAAATAATCTCCATGGAAATGAGATGTGCCAATGCTTATAGAACTGTATACCAAATATCTTTGATTAACCATTAGTGATTACCAGTAAACTGACCACAACTTAACAAATTTGTTGATGCTGGAAACAACACCCTAAGTCTTGCTTTTTGACTCTATCAAGGTGAAACAAAAAACCAACAAAATGCCAATCAACCATCCACAAAAAATCTATATAATGGAAGGGAATGGGTGGAATACTCACAAAACTATTTTTAGGTTACAAGATGTTCATTTCCAAAGTAAGAGGTCTGAATATGGTTTTTAGTATCTAATGATTTTTGTTCATGAATTTGGTGTTGCTGTTTGATATTTGTTAATCGAACAAATTCAATCTTAACTTGTCAATACTCAACACATATAAAAGCTTTCAATATGACGTGGCATCTTTTTCATTGTTTAGGACTGTGTTGTGGCCTCTAGTGAAGATTTTGTTCAATTCAGTCTTGTTTTGATGCCTCATTGACATTAACTGAAAATTCTTCTTTAATACTCTTTACACTATAGATAAAGCAACATTTCCAGCTTAAGTCAGTGAAAATGGCTAAATCTAGGGTGGTTATCCAGTAAGGTGAACATTCCTATTCAACAAGATCAACCTTCAAGCTACTCATGGTATGATCCGTTGAAAAGGTGGGAGAAGGTAGCAAGGAGGGCAATCAAAAACCGTAACTCCAGGAACTAGAGGCTCCAAGGAACCTGTATCTCTCACCTGGCATTTTGCATTTAATTGGTAAAATGCACCAAGAGAAATTCTGATATTTTCTGGCAAAAAAGCAAACCAGAGTGCACAAGCTGAAATGTCTCACCTGCTTCACTGACCATGTTTGATTTAATGTTGAAAGTCTTAAAAACACTAAAAGTATCACAAAAACTTTAAATTATCAATGATTGATGACATTGAGGTCAGACTCACTTGAAGTGAGTCGGCCAAAGTCAGATAAACCCTTACAGAGAGACATTTACAACTTACAATCATTCCATACACCAAAATATCAAAGTATCAAAGTAACCAAACTGTGAAAACTGAACATTGACCAATAAACCATGAAAATGTATCAAGTTCAGATAAAACCTGCCATGCCCCGCCCCCCCTACAATCACTCCATACACCACATGTAGTTGACCTACTGTTTATAGTATCTGAGAAATGGACCTATCACTTAATTTTAACCTTGATCACTGGTCCATGAAATTAGGTCGAGGTCAGGTGAATCCTGTCTGATAGGCATATGTAATTATTGCAAGGAACCCATTTACCAAATACTGTAAATTTAGAAATTAATGCATGCATTTATTATTGCTAATCCTTGACCATTGGCAACAATGCGAAATCTAATTATTGCCATTTAAAAAAAAAAAAATGAAGGAAAATCACAACAGAGAATATGAATGTGAGTTGTTATAATTGCAAACCTTATACTGTCGCATTTATTGCTTTTATAAAAACATCACAATAACTTCTGAATTTACAGTATAGTTATCCTATTACTCATAATAAGTGAAGCAAACTATACAAACAACGGGGCTGAACTCAGGTGCTCCTGGAGGGTAAAAAGTTCCTTCTCACTGGTGCAACAAGTCATGTTGCCCAGTGCAAGTGAACAAAATTAAGATAAGCCACAATGGTTGATGTCTCAATGTAGGTAAAGGGTGGGATTGTGGCTATGTCAAATGTGGTCATCTGGGAAACTGATATTCCATAATGAGTAATCAAATTATGATTAAACTTCCAAGAAATTACTTCAACTATACAAATAAGAATCCTGGGTTTAATAGCTTACTTGTAAGCAGTAACTCTACATCATGGAAATCCTGATAAAAAATGTGTTCAACCAAAGCAGTCGTCTAATATTTTGAGACAACTCTAGTCATCAACTTTAAGTATTTATTGTAAGTTCTAATAATTTTTTTTTGTACTTTGTACTTGTTTTTTTGTAATATATTATACCATTGTTTATGGTTTAGTGCATTTTATGTACTGATTTTTTAATGTATGTTCTTTCAGATGCCTGTTGTAAGTACACTGGTAAGGTTAAGATCTTAAAGAACTACTTTAACCCTGTGATTGATGTGCCGGCCCATAGTAGGGAACCTTGTCAGTGGTTATCTTGTGTCAAAAAAAAATTTCTAAATGTTCTTTCTTTTTTTGAAATTTGATAATGATGTCAGATCTTTGAAGATTTCTGTTTAATTTATTCCCAACCTTTTTAGACTCAAGGAGATTGCATGCTTAACATATCGTATAGACACCTGTCTACTGTTAAGGACTGTATGTTTCCCTCTAAATATTGTTTGTTTATTTGTATTGCTGGGTTGCTGTCTCATTGATGTATACCCCATATTTCATTTTATTTACATTAGTAATACATTGTTGTACATGTAATAAAAAGAGTCTATCATACTTCATACTGTTTTATTTCATGTAAACAATAATAAAAATATAAACTTAAATATCAGCACCAAATAAATAGTAAAAAGGAAAAAAAAAAACAAAAGGCCAAATTAGCCTTGTATCAGTGAATGTTAAAAAAACATGGATTTATCAAAATCTTTGTGGTTAAATTCTAATCGTAAATTCGGAAATTTTTGCACAAATTTATTTTTGCATTGTTGAACAATGTACAAAAATGTGAGGTAAAACTTTTGTGTTGTCAGAAAATGATGCACACAACTACTGCTATCAAAATTTAAAAAGCAAGTTTTAATTTACATCCCAACATTTCTGAATTTACAGTAATTGATGTTTTTAATAGAATAGTCCTTAGACATGTTAGAAGGTCAGTCTCTGAAAAACTGTACAATCAGTGACAATGAGGTCTAAAAATAAAAGATTGTTGTACATATAAAATACAGACTATCATGACATACAAGTTAAATATGTTTTTTTTTCTCAATTTATTGAAATTTATTTTTCTAACAAAAAAAGGCTACAATCTTAGAAAAAGACGAAACTGTATAAATATTTGTTCCTGATGATGAGTTTATTATACTCTGAAATATTCTCTTTTTTGTTTAGCTGAGTATCACTGTTTTAAAACGATTTTTTTGCAATTAAAAATAAAAACATTAACTGACACCTAATTAGAGGTCCTACCACTGAACAAATGTGATACCATATTTCACCTCTCTAGATAGTTAGATTTTCAAATTTGATTTTTTTTTTAAATTACTAACTTTTACTGTCGAGAGCAGAGAAATATGGAATAGGGTGGTAAAATGATAAATATAAAGCTCATGAAGTTACGAATAAAATATACTTGTAATATAACTTAAATATAATAATAACAAAATAAGAAAATAAACAAATTTATGGATTACAAAGAGATGTATACAAAACTTTGTATAAAAACTATACTCAATAAGAAAGTAAACATTTGTGAATCTCAAGTACATTTTTATCTAAATTTCACTTCAATTTCAGCCCCTGGAGTAAAAATGGTAGAACTTCAACCTTGAATATAAATTTATTTGATCTACTGGCCTACTGTATATCTACTGTGGATTCATCCATTTTTGTTGATTGAGAAAAAAATAATTTTTGTTGATAACATATTTCATGCGTTTAACATGTTTCGAAAACTAACATATAGAAAATCTGTATCTATTGGGAACTTAAATAAAGTTAAAATTGTGTCCATACCCCAAAAAATTCAAACAAAAATAAGTACCTCATAAATGATATGAATCCACAGTAAATTTGAACACAGATAAATACACTGAAAAAGTCAAAAACAAAGCTTGACATATTACATTGTGTGATTGACACCATTGTTGAAGGCTGCATGTTAACCTCTACTTGTAGATGCCTTCTATTATTTGTATTAAAGGTTGTTGTCTTGTTGATATGAGCAGTAAATTATTACCATTTGTCAAAATTAAAGTTGGTTAAATTTTACAAAATACATTTTGTACTCATTTTGCAAAAAAATTGTTAATAACTTTCTCCCACTAATTCAAAATGATTAAGTATCTAAAAAAAATATGCACAATTTTTATAAATACTAATATTTGCAGCATCCAGGTTTGCTGGTCATATCAAATTAAGGGATAATTTTTATAAATTTGACTGATATCATAATGGCAATAAACACAAATTCTCTATGTTGACTAGTACATATATTTCAATTAAATGACATTCTAAGATACTCTTATTCTGTTGATAAGTTTGATAATTGAATAAAACAATATAAAATACATGCAATTGAAATACAATATTTGGAAACTATCTCATTTGCAATACCTAATTAAATCTTAATATATTTCTGCTGCTATGTCCAGATGTAGAATCATGAGAATTGGTATTTGATCATGAAAAGGGAGATAAATTATAAATTTCTTTTCATTTGTACTAAAGGGAGATAAATCATCAATTTCTTTTTATTTGTACTAAAGGGAGATAAATCTTCAATTTCTTTTTATTTGTACTTTAGGTAAATTACAAATGTAGCACCAATATGATAGAGAAAAAATAATTATCCGTAGTTTTATTTTTGTTAAATAGGACAATTTACAATTATTACATATTTTTGTGAAAAGTACAATCAACTGTTGGCATACAAAAAATAAAAACTTAAACTAAATCTTTCAAACGCAGGTGTTGAGAAATTTAACCAAATATACAACTATATTTCCAAAAGTTTCATTAAATTTGTTTAACACATTTATTTTCTTCTTACTTTTTTTCACTGAAGAAGTTAAATGTTGGTTTTAAGTCTATCAGTTTAAGGCCTGCCTACCAAATATTTTTGTTAATTTTCCACTAGAGTACATACAGATCTCTCCTTTGAACTAAAATCTTTAATTTTCTCCTTGTTTCATTAAAAATTAGCTGTGCTAATAGTATAATAGAAATTAAGATTTTATTTCTTAAAAATCTGTTTCAATACATTGTATATACAAAACAAGTGCTAGCACCATATTAACTGGTTTATCATCAATAGTTTAGAAGGACATTTTTGCCATATTTAGTTGTATGATTGTCTTTTTATTATGCAAGAGGAAAATATGAGAAGACAGACAGGAGATGAACACTGAAAGATGACAAAAAAATCATACAAGGCCTTGTACAAGTTATTTAACAAATATGAACACATTTAAATCGATTATCTACTATAAAATATAAATCATAATTTAGTATCTTCATCAATATTTCTGTCCGTTGAAGATTCATTTGACTTTTTGATTAAAGGTTTCTCAGAAGAAGAATCACTATAAATGGCTGCCTCTGATTCTTCATATGAAAACATTGAATTACTTCTGTTTTGAAGAGGTGAAACATCTTTTAAAAGTAAACTGTTACAATTTCCTGCACTACAAGCTGAGAGATCACTTGGCAAGCTTCTTGTAGATCCTGAATTATGTATAAAGCTTCTTTCATATGCCTGTTCAAATTCCCACTCTAAACTATGAGTCAAATTTATAGAGGATAATGGTCTTGTTATGTCAGTACCAAAAGTACCAACACTCATTTTTTCAAAGTCCATGCTGCGTTTTAAATTTTCTGACGGTTCTGTATCAGATCGATGAAGTTTTTGTACACTTTCTATGGCATTCTCTTTATATCCTTTGTTAGAAATACCCGTATCACTAGAAACAGAATTACGTTTTGCGTTAATCATAGTACCAGGTATTAGATCTGGTAAACTGGTTCCAATTTCAGAACCAGTAACACTATCATCTTCAGCCTTAAATCGGACAACGCCTTCCCTTATTACAAGATGAGATTGTTCTTTCTTCATTGGACAATGTTTTTCTTCATTTTTGATATCAAAGTTAACTACAGTATGTTTCTTGTCCAAATCATCGCTAAGCACTAAAGCATTAGAATTTGCTGCAGAACTAGGTTCTGAGTCAATTAGTCTATCTTCCTGAGGAACACAAAATAAACGTTTGAACATTCCATAAACAGTAGAAAATGTTCTATTTGAGCTTCTTCTACGGACCATGATTGGTTGTGATGCAACATATACCATGAGGCAACACATACAAAACTCTACCAACCGTAACAAAAACTGATAAGAAAAGAATGGCCATGGCTCTGGAATGTGGCCTTCAATATAAAGTCTATAAACGCCAAATATTCCATATACTTCTAACATTACACAAAGTAATCCAAAAATTGCAGCAGCAAATGTTATTTTAACGGATGTATTTAATGTATATCTATTTTTACTTTTCCTCTTCACTGATTTGTTGTTAGTTTTGCCATCTTTACTTGTAAAACTTGCTTTGTATATACTTGCAGAATTTTTATTTCGAAACATAGCTGCTAATCTTAATTTGTTGAATATATGAAAATATCCTATGAATAAAATAGTGCCCCAAATGACGTAGAAAAATTGACATACTAACAGCAAAACTTGAGCACTGAAGAATAATCCAACTATGACAGATGTAATAACGGATAGCGCAAAATGAAATGCTATGATTCCAATAAGTAATGAAAGTTTCTGTATTTTTGTAGAAACCACTTGAACCCTTGTTGCCAGCAACAGGGCATAGAACAAAATACTGAAAGCAGACGTCAAGCATGGATATGCAGTACTGTAGAGGAAATAGTTCACAATCACAGGAAATGTTCCATTTCTGTTGTGTGCATCTATCACAAGGTACAATCCTCTCAACAAACACTGACTTGTAACTAAAACATTCAATGTTACAAAATAATTCCTACTAAGTAAATGTTCAATACGCCACAATCGTACAATATTATAAACACTATATAATCCAAGAAGTAAGAATATTACACCAAATAAGTAAACAAGAAAGTCCCATCCCCACTTGTATTCCTTCATAGCTATGTCCCATTGTGGAACAGGTTCAGGAAAACTGACTTCAGGTTCAGATTCTGGTTGAGGTTCAGATGTTGGTTCTGGTTCTGGTTCAGATGTAGTTTCTGGTTCTGGTTCAGATGTAGTTTCTGGTTCTGATTTAGGTTCAGATGTAGTTTCTGGTTCCGGTTCAGATGTAGTTTCTGGTTCCGGTTCAGATGTAGTTTCTGGTTCTGACCTAGGTTCAGATGAAGTTTCTGGTTCTGACTTAGGTTCAGATGTAGTTTCTGGTTCTGACCTAGGTTCAGATGAAGTTTCTGGTTCTGACTTAGGTTCAGATGTAGTTTCTGGTTCTGATCTAGGTTCAGATGTAGTTTCTGGTTCTGATTTAGGTTCAGATGTAGTTTCTGGTTCTGACCTAGGTTCAGATGAAGTTTCTGGTTCTGATTTAGGTTCAGATGTAGTTTCTGGTTCTGACTTAGGTTCAGATGTTGTTTCTGGTTCTGACTTAGGTTCAGATGTAGTTTCTGGTTCTGACTTAGGTTCAGATGTAGTTTCTGGTTCTGACCTAGGTTCAGATGTAGTTTCTGGTTCTGATTTAGGTTCAGATGTAGTTTCTGGTTCTGATTTTGGTTCAGATGTAGTTTCTGGTTCTGACTTAGGTTCAGATGTAGTTTCTGGTTCTGACTTAGGCTCAGATGTAGTTTCTGGTTCTGATTTAGGTTCAGATGTCGTTTCTGGTTCTGACTTAGGTTCAGATGTAGTTTCTGGTTCTGACTTAGATTCAGATGTAGTTTCTGGTTCAGAATTAGGTTCAGATGTACTATTTGTAGACCACACTGTTTCACTGGTATTTACAGGTTGTGCTGATAATTCAGGTGTTGTTTCAGGTTCACTAATAGGTTCATTTAAAGATTTTACATTCAAAATGTCTTCATTTTTACTAACAGTTGTGGAAAAGTTATTCTTATCACTTGTATAATTTCCAGAAAAATTTTGCTGAACATTGCTGATGTGTACATTCTTTAAATCAAGGATTTCAGTGGAATTTGCATTACTCACTTCTCTCTTGAACCTAATATGTCTATCGAATGCTTCATGGAAGTTGCTAGGTTTGAATGTCTGGCAGTAAATTAAGCTACTGACCACAAATAGCAAAAATCCAAATATCCCAATACAAAGAGGTACGATTGTCTTTTTCTGATGCATTGTATTTTGGTTACGATACTATGATATTTTCTCCTGATACAAGATCCGAAATTTCGTCATAATTACAATTTCCTTCACAGTGCAAACTTTCATATTCACGTTTCTTCATACAAATTGTTCAAATTGTTGGTACATTCTGAAAAATTCAAAAACTTTATCAATGTATACAGAAGATTTAGGTAATTTAATTTCAATATGTAATAAATTTAAATTTTTCTAATGAGTGATAAATGTTTCGTTGTAAATTGATGTCATTCAAAATATTGTATCCTATTGTATTGGATTTTGCATTATACAGTTTAATAGAGAGTAATCTATTACAAACAAATGTTACACTACAGTAAAATATTAGATTTCAAATATCAATATTTCATGGAGCATCAGTACTTAGCACCATATGTAGCTAATATTTATAGGCGAACCAACCAGAATTTGGTCTTGATGGTAATTGTTTTGTAGACTTGGGGCAGTCTAGGGCTTGACATATAGTATAGGCATTTGTCAATTGTTGAAGTCTATATGTTGACTTTAAGATGTCCTTAGGTTATGTTGGTTGCTTTTTGTATTGTTGGGATGCATTGTAATCAATCCAAATCATACTTAATTTGATATTAAGAAATTAAAATCAAATTAAGTATACTCCAGAGTACGATATATTTCCTGTTTATTTTGAAATAACAGCTAACATTGATTTTCCAATATCAGTATGTTGTTAATGTAAAGTTCCATGCAATGTACAACTTTGGAGCGATACTTGTAAAAGGTTATATGGATTTATCATATATGAAGCTCCGTAAGAAGGACACTTGGCTCCCCTAAATCTGCTTCTGCTATTATCGTCTAATCTTTATTTTTTTGGCCCATTATCGCCAAAAAAAAAAAAAAATGTTCTCTCGGTGAAAGTGAACATTTTCTTTTTTTAAAAAGCCTAAAATATGAATTAAAAAAAATTTCAACATAATCAATGTGGGGTGAGATTTTTAGTGAATAAAGTCCTAATGGCAACCAAAAAGTATTACAAAAAAAACATCTAATTAAAGGTAATTATGGGTTTATTAAGCCCTTGTTGGTTTGAAGCCACAATATTGACTATATACATATTATTAAATTATATTTTGTGAAACATCATTGTGATTTAACTTAACCTCATTTCAACTAAAATATACATGTATATACAAAGATTGTACCAAAAATCTGACATAGCACAACTTTAAAAGTTTTTTTTTTAAATTAAGAATCCTAACTTATGTTAAGTTAATGTAACTTTACCTTTTTTTGTTCATGTAAATTTTGACCAAAATGATAAAATTACATTGCATGATAATAAAGTGCCCAGTTTGTACATGTTAAATGTAGAAATCTTTTTGTTTGAGTACATGTAATATTTAATTATTTAAATGCTTTTAATCACCTACGAGCTTCCTGTAGTAATATATGGTTCCTGTTTCAATAATCCTAGATTAAGGGGTCATAATGTAATTTACGATCTGAGATATTACAATACATAAGAGTGATTTTTTATTTTTTTTTTCAATTGTAAAAATTGATAAAGAAGTAAAATACAGACTGTTTTTAAAAGATAAGTAAGAGGAAGTAACTTTGGTAGAGAACCCATCATTTGAAATAAAATCAGTTTCTTTTGGTTCATTCATATGTTTCAGAGTTTAGTGTGACGTCTATTTTCGCTGAACTAGTATACATTATTGGTTAAGGGGCCACCAGAAGACAGCATCCGGGTGCAGGATTTTCTCGCTGTGTTGAAGACTCATTGGTGGCCTTGGGCTGTTTTCTGCCTCTTAAAAAGCCACAGTTCTAGACAGAGTTAACATGGTTAATCTCTTTTCTATTCAAAACCAAAACCTGCTGGTTCATAGTGACTTCAGGTCAATGCCTCCTTATATTTCATTTCAATACATGTTACAAGTAATTAAATGTGTGTCAAAAATATGACATCTTTGTTGATTAGGAAAAGGATGGTCTTTATGTTGACTCGTAAATATGTTTTAATCAAATTTGATGCTGATTTTATCTCTAAATAATTGTTTTAAAAAAAAAGGCTATAGCAAGAACTATCACTTGAAAAAAATTGGTATATTGACTTAAATGACCACAGTTTTATTCTTAATCATAACTGACTAAAAAAAAACATATATTTATTTCCTTTCTTGTGTTTATTTGACCTAATCATAGAAAACAACTTTAAACTCTGAAATGTCATGTAATATAGCAATAAAGATAGAAAATTGAAAGGTGCCAACACTAAGTTTTTGTGATAGCATCACAATTTCATAATAACTAAATATTTAATGTATAAATTGCACGATCAAAGTTCAGGTATGCCAATTTTATGTAAATACTTATGTTGGTCCTTTTTAAAATTAAAATGTTCCTTTGTCAATTAAATGTTAAAATTTTTGAAAAAAAGGAAACATATGTGTGTACCAAAATTCTTTAAAAATTCTCTCAACCAAAGATCAAATTTGAAGTCAATCTGGTGCATAATTATTGTTACATACCTGATAATTTTTTTCAATGGATGAACTTTAAACAGGAAATAAAAAACAGTAAAGAGTACTGGTAGCAAAGAATAAAACAAGCAATATTTACATTGTTTTGGCCTCTAGTTAGAAATCATAAAGCTTCTTATAAAGCGTCAAAATACTTAAGAAAATTTCTAATCTTATTGTCCAATCATACAATTATTGAAGAAAGTGTCCAGCTTAGGTCAACTGCCACCAGCTGTGATGAATCCTGTGGTCATTTATCTAAATTACCAGGGAATCCTACAATTAAGGTAGTGTCAATATTGAATAATCACAATTATCAACATTTCTGAAATAATTGCTTATAAAAACCTATTTAATATTCTTCTGACCTATGATGACACTAATTGATTAGAAGTACCTTATCATAACAAAATTAAGGCACTTTAATTTTTAAATATCCAAAAAGCTCGAAATTTTAAAATTTAAATGTCTGGAGAGGAGGAATACTGTAACACACTCTGTGCAGTGGTGGAATCTATATATTTTCCCACCAAAATATAGTTAAAACTTTTAAATCTTTAAATTGGAGGTGTTTAAATTTTGAAAATTTAGGTGTCGAAAATGATTAATTGGTGATGTTTAACACCTCTTTCAGCAGCTTTATCGTGGCAGCCAGTTTTTATTGGTGGAGGAAGCAAGAGTGCCTGGAGAGAACATTATACCTTATGCCTGTTGAAAATGTAAATTGTTGTACCCTTTGTAATGATGACGATAGTGTCTGTAATGATTTTAGATGACATACAGTGTTCAATTATAGTTCTTTCGATTCTTGGGATGATATCATTTTTTTGAATCAATGAAAAAAACAGAAAACAACATAAAAAATTGTTGCAACCAATGACAAATGGAGAACAATCAAATTATATAAAATGGTAAAAAAAATAATTCTAGACTTCGTCTTCTGAGATCTGCACAACAGACTGCAATGTATATCTCAGTTGATGTCCTTGTTTCATAGTACAGATGTACCAAGATTTATGTGTGTTTTTGTTTAAGAAGGAAATACCATCTGACGTGGTAGTTAAGTACCCTAATCTATGCAAATTTTCATAAAGCTCTTTAAACCAAACAGGGTGACATTTAAAGCGAAAATTTTTTATAAAATTAAAAAAAAGTATATTAAAATTTGTTAACAGTAAAATATTTGTCTATAAACTTACCTTTAAAGTTTGTCACTTTAAGCCATCTCTAAATAAATCCTGTAAGAAATACATAACTATGTCAAAAAATATGATACATATAACAGTGTCAAAATATTTACCATGACAGTTTACAAATGTTTACTGGTTGACCTTATAGTTATGCTTGAGTGATGTTGTGTAAGGTTGATGGGCCTGACATAATGTTACTTCTCATCTGTCAATCACAAATTAAAATATTTACATCATAGTCTGGATAATAACATGTACAAGGAAAACAGATGTGACATTTTTATTTTTATTTTATTCTTCACATATTTTAGGTATGTGAGAAAGACAGAAAAGAAAAGGCTCTGTTTTTGAGAGGGACTATCAACTGAAATTCTATTTGTATTATCATTGGAATAAAAATACAATTAGAACTGAAATTAAACATTTTTTTTTAAGTGCATCCACATGATTCCAAAATTTCCTGATATATGTGACAAAATCTGAGATATAAACTACCATATGTATACAAATAGACTTTACCACTGCATTTAGTGAAATACAATATTTTTTAAACAGTTAAATTTCACAATTTGTACTCAAGAGTTTTAAAATACATCATAACATGTAGGCAAATTTTAAAATGATTCTTTTTTGGTAAACTGCACAAAAAAAATGTTGTTTGTTTCTCAGTTAAGTCACCAGGCATAATATATTCATTGTAGGATAGGGCTTTTTTTTTACAGATAAGGTATTATCAACTGAAGCTGCAACTGCTACAACACAGTGTTATGGTACTCCAAGGCTGGAGTAAGTGCAGAATACCACTATTTAAAATCCTCTTTGTGCTTTTTCTTTCAGTAAGAACTTCCACGTGTTACCTGCTAACCATTAATCAACCATACTGAAAAATCATCATCCATTAACCATTTGTCCATTCTAATATATTTTGGCTATTGTAAGTTGCAGGTGTTGAAAAGGGGGAATTTGAACAAAAAAGTTTGTGAAGTTCATCCTCATTTTTCACCATGGCTAATTGTTTCCTGTCTAATCAATCAATCTGACAACTTCTCATGTCCATTTGTTTACATCTTACAGCTGTTTATTGTTTATAAACAGAAATTTTAAAGTTTTTTGTTTTTGTTTTATTTTTGTTTTTTTTTTATAAAAATTATTAAATAAGGGAGCTACCATTTGATTTTAATGGGGGGGCTAGGATGAAACATTTTGTCCTGCATTTTTTTTTAGTTGTAATCTCTGTCCTGCCTTTTTATTTTTCACTCTATTCGGTCCTGCATTTTTTTAAAAAGTTTATCCTGACTTTTTTTTACCTAAATTGTCATCATGACTTTTTTTTTTTGCAAGTGTCTCATCCTGCCTTTTTTTACTCAAAACTCCTGTCCTGCCTATTTTTTTCAAATTTCATCCTAGCCCCTCCCCCAATAAAAATCAAATGGTAGCTCCCTAAGCATTAAATAACATACAATATGGTCATTAGTTGGCCAAAACAGATATCCTGATTAACTTATTACATTGTGAACATCCTTATATTGATATGAATTTCAACACTGAAAAACGTGATAGTTTACATAATTCTATAATCCTCAGTTCAAAATCTAATCATTTTATTAAAGGTTACAATTTCTAGGTGAGGGGTATAAAATGCTTAAGTTCTCCTGGTTTTATTTCCTACCTAATCTATTTTCTTTAAATTCATCCATTTTTATCAACGGATATTTTAAGTAAGCTGATAATCAGATAAAGTCACTTTAAATAAATATGAGGAAGCTTGATATATCTTGAGCATTTTTATTTCCCATATAAAATGCCTTGTATGTATGCATGCGCATATATGTAGAAATAAACTTTCAATTCAGCATATATATTTCAACATATGATATAAATCCCAGATGTTTTAATACATAAAAATTATGATAGGTTAAACAATCAATTCCTTTGTGGTCTAAATAAAAAAATTTGCACACGTCAGTTTACAAAGTATACCTGAAACCATAAATTAGGAAAACGACAAATATGAAATAATTGAGATCAAAAAACATATATAGCTGAGAATTTCCTGTGGGTCTATTTGGAAAGGAGTAAATTTTCATTCCATTTGAAAACACCTGCATCAAGAATGAGATTATGCTAATATCTACTACTGGAAGTGTTTAACGACCTTGACTGGCTCTTCAGCCCTCGCACAGTCTGCTCGGTGCCCGAAGGCGTTTTGGTGAGCGTTTAAATATTTTTGCAGTCGGACAGGAACAGTGCGCTAATATCACAACTATTGTTTTAGTTTTAGCTTATTTTTTTATACAGCACAAAAAATGGAAAATCACCAGCTAGATTCCTATTTCTTTTCACAAAATTTCCATCTATTCACAGGCTCTTGCCACTGAAAAAAATACCTGTGTTATATTAAGGTATATAGGAAATTTCTTTTCAGAGACAAGTGCCTGCATGTGCATATATTCTATCAAATAGTATTCTTTTTCAGATTTTTTTCTTTCTTTCTTCCCTTCTTTTCTTGTAAATTACTACATAAAATGCCTAATCTATTTAAAAATGTAACTTTTCTAGTTCAAAATACAACAGAAGTTGAGTATCAAGTACTCAAGTTAACTTAAATAAGATAAAAGTTATCAAAGTAAAAAAAATTTAAAACCATAAAATTATAGTAGTATTTCCTTCTTTTGACATCTAATATAAAATGTTACCTTAAAGCAGGACAACCCACCCTGATACATATTTGTGATATTTGTATAAAATTGATTACCTCTAGAAATACACCTTGTCATTTTATGGATTAACAGACCATGAATTTGTCAATACAATGGTGTTCAACTGATCTCCAATACCTGCAAGCAAAACACATAAAAACTGATACTTTACTTCAAATATGTTAATGGTTGGTGATGTACTTTAAATAAACATGAATATATTAGTAGTTTACAACAAGAATCTTACTAAAGTCATTACAAAGTATTTAGGAATTTCCACTCTGTACCAGTTAAAGTATTTTCTTAAATAGAATATGAGAAAAATGTTGGTCACAGTGACACCAATTGTTACTAAACAGCTTTTATCTAAAATAGGCTAATGTTAATATATTCCCATAGGTTATTTCTTAAGAAACAGACCAGACTGCCAACTAAAAAATTGCTCAAGTGTGAATTGTAAGCTATGGTGTAGACACAAGTGACCTGCAATATGACATTATCATTCTTGTAATTTGACAGAAACTGTAGTGATATTAGATATCACTGATATATTATGAATTAAAGGATGATGATGATGGATGGCTGCTTAACTCCAGTGGCAAGTTAAATGCATAATTCAGGACGAGAATGTTGAACCCTGCATTATTAGATTGACACACTGAGCCAGATTTTTAACGTACTAGTTCACAAGGTAACAGTCCTCTGGAAGATATGTCACCCTACCTGGACACATTATTCTGTCCCGGCCGACCAGTCGTTGCTCTTAGATATGAGTTAAATATGGTAAATAAATGAAAGGGTATAAATTATTTATATGTTGTTCAAACTTAAAAAAAAAAAAATTAACAATTAGGCCTGACAAATGAAAAGTTTTTCATTGTAAAAATCAGAGAGAATACCTGCAAATTTAAAGAACAGTTTGTAAAAATCGGAAAAGAATGAGTTTTCAATTTGTACAGAAACTGACGTGACTGATTTATACATTTAGTAATTTTCATTGAGTCAAAAAGGAATTGGTTTCCAAACAGACCGGTTTGTAATTCTCAATTTTTTAAAGACAAAAATAAATTCAGTTTTTGTTATAAATGAAATTGAACATGTTATTAAAGAAAATATACAAACATAAATATAACTGTACCGTTTTCTATATGTTTACTTCCTAAATTATTTATAACTAAAAGTTATATTCGGTAAACCGGAATTAACCAATAGGAAAACAGTTAATCCCATTAGTGAGCAACTCCTGTTATTAGTCATTTATAATCTATCATGAATTGAATAATTGACATTGATTTAAAAGTGAAGTAACACTTCGATAAAGTCACCCATGACCTCCCACACCATCTTTATACCAAAACATGACCATTGTTGTTTTTGTTATGTAAAATTTGTACACAATTGATGGCTAATTCTAAGGACATTTCTCACTTTCAATTAAACTTAAACCAGATCAAATTATATGTTACCCAGTTTACAGATATTAAGAGTTCAGAACTATTCAATCTTTAACATTCAAAGTACATATTTTCTACAGATTGTGACTGTATACATTGAATTGTTTAAAAAAAAAAATAGAGAATTTCATTCTTGTGTAGATGAGAATACCACTTCATAAATTTCATGCTTCCAAAGTGCTTTTCTGTATTTACCTTTATCACTCAGAGACGCTCAAAACCGATTATTTAAAAACTTTAAAGTTGTTTTTCTTTTTTTGCACTAAATTTAAAATGCATTTGTGTGGATCAATACCAAACCAGAATATAAATTTATTCTTTATTTTGGGATTTCAACTAAAATACATAAAAGTGCATTTGTTTGGCAATAGAAGCAACGTTTGGTAAATAACTGAATAATTGGCTTGATTGGCCGCTATAAAAATCTCCATCTTCTGAGAGATCAATCTGATAAACAATCAGGTGTCCAGAAATATTGAAGCCTTTTATCTAACTGCACTTTAAAATATTACTATCTAAAAATATTTTTTACACAGTTAATTTATTTCCCTGGTGGTTTATTATTTCCAATCAGAGTGATTAGTCCCAACAAATTCAACTTAGATTATAAAAAACTTTATCATCCAAGAAAAGTACATTTTATGACTTAGGTCAAATTTTTACCCTCTAATTTTTAAAAATTCTTCATTATCTTCATGGGATATCTAATATGAGAGTGTTAGACATACTTACTATAATAATGTTCATGTTTTCACATTCCACCCTTCGTGTCAAATAAGAAATTACTACCAATATACCTCTACATTCAAAAGTTTAAAAAATGTTAAATCCAGCTATATTTAAGGTTAAATGAATTCCATATTGCACACAATGCACAATACCTTAATCCCTATTATAATGTCAAAAGTTGTAATTTACTTGGAAAGTATATCCTTTCTTTATTGTGAACTCATCTCAATAACTATCATTAACTTGTTCACTTCAATTAATCATGAAAAACTTGAACTTGCAAATTAGAAATCCATGGGCCATATATATATAAAGATCTTATTATTGGAAGAGGGCTGTCATTCAATACACATCCAGTATGTTAGTTAGTCGATGTAGACCAGGACAAGTCTACCCAAAGGATTCTATTCTTGTATTAAAATTTTGAATGTTATTATAGTATTTTAGTATTCTTCATTATTCTTTCAAGCATTTCAAGATTTAATTTGCAGAATTAAATTTTGAATCTCTGAACATAACACAGTCAGTGCTAAAGTAATTCCTTTTTATGGTTTATTCAGTCATGAAATAACAGTAAAATTACAAGAATTATACAAACTCTGACAGGTTGTCACACAAACGCAGACATATGATATAATAGTGCAACCTTTGCCCAAAAACATATTTTCTCAGGAGGTATATTTTGCAATTACAACTTCTTACTGCCAAAAAGACAGCTGATGCTTGTGCTTGAATAAATTGTACCAAATTGTTTCTGAAAATTATAAGCCTGTTTGTTTGCTAACAGCTTGTATATATCCATTTTGAAAACACTTGAAATAAGACTTCAAGCATAGGTTGTTATCTATATTTTCATAAAGACTTTATTCAGATGTTTTAGAAAATGAAATACAATAATATTGCAAAAAGTTTCATTTTGGATTAATTTACAGCACTATGTTACAACCAAAATGTACCTTTTCCGTTCAAGTCAGAAAAAGCAATATTCCATATCTAGCTAGTTGTGTTTTCTAGCGTTATGACTAGACATCTCCAGTATTAGTAAGGATTACTTTAACCACATTATATTGTAATGTGTTTAAACTTTTAACTTTTCTCCATTCTACTGAAATCTAACCAATCCATACAATTTATTAACATTAATTTCCCAATCTCAACCTACTCCCTCTATCTTAGTTCCCTTCACTAACTGTTCACTGACATTATGCTAATTTCAACCATTAGGCTAGAGTTTTCTACTTATTCATATTTTCTTTACCCAGTGACTTAGATATAAAAACATTAACCTATTGGCCTTTGATGATGTAAACACATTAAATGATGTAAGATCTATTTCAGAAACAGACATAACTTTGTTCTCTGTATCTCAACCCTGATATCTTTATTTCAATCTTAAACTTACTGATCTAGATATAAGCCTGAAAAACTAATATATTACCTATAATATGCAAATGTCACTAGTTCAAGGCATTCAGGGCAAGTATGGTGCCAATCTAAGCCTTAATGAAATATTACTAAATCTTAAATAAATTTATTTTCTTTCACACTTATCTGACTTTAATCAGTAAAACTGTAAAATGACAAATACAGGCACCAAAATGAATAAAGTGATTATCCAAATTTTACGAATTTTTGCAGATTGCTGATGATTTTAAGCTTTTGCCATTAACATTTAAACCTTTGTTTATCCAACTTTCTAATGACATAGCCTAAGTATGAGCTTATAGTGGTTTGTTAAACCAGTGCCTAGACATATACAAAACTCATAGAAAATACTTCTCCAATAGAAAAAAGCTTTGCGTATTTCAGGCATAGATTTTGATGATAGTAAGTAAATTCCAAACTTTTTCACATACCTTGAAGTAGACCATGAAATGAGGTGAAAATCAACAGACTTAAATTGCTGATTAAAGAAGTAACTGTTAAGAATGTTTGTTTGGAATAGTTTTTGACTTATAGTAAAACAAAAAATCCAGACTCTTTAAGTCAGATAATATCCCCATGTCTACTATCCAATCAGTTGTGATGCAAGCATCAAGGATGTTGACATTTTGTCAAATATTACCTATTTATTCTATCAGGAATAAATGCATTTTCAATGGAGTTTATGAGACTAGACTCCCTCAGATTGATTTTTTCCAAGGCCTGTCTACTGGTATTTTCATTTAAAACAATTCTCAACTATATTCCACAAAATAATCCATACAAAATCTACTTAACTTTTTTGTTAATTACTTGATTAAAAGCGGCCTTTATTGAAATTATAGATTTGAAGGGAACAAAATATACTGCAAAATCAGAAATTATTGTGAAGTTTTTTTTATTGTGAATAATGTGACTGGGTGAGTATTGCAATAATAAGAACTCGCATTCTGATATCTGACTGATATATCTGTATGCAGATTTTCCAGAAATTGCAGTAAGTATAATCTCACATTATAATTTGTGATATATCTGTATGCAGATTTTCCAGAAATTGCAGTTAGTATAATCTCACATTATAATTTGTGATATATCTGTATGCAGATTTTCCAGAAGTTGCAGTAAGTATAATCTCACATTATAATTTGTCCATTCTGCAAAAATTGCAATAATAAAAGCTCGCAATAAAATCTGAACTTACAATAATTTGTCCTAAAATGAACAATCAGATCTGTATGCAGATTTTCCAGAAATTGCAGTAAGTATAATCTCCGTTATAATTTGTCCATTCTGCAAAAATTGCAATACTAAAAGCTCGCAATAAAATCTGAACTTACAATAATTTGTCCTAAAATGAACAACCAGATGTTTGGAGATGACAAGTGCTCTAACTTCTAAAATAGTGGTGACAGGGAAAGTAAACTGAAACGTAGATGTTCACCTAGACTTTAGCCATATTTTAATCTAAAATATTTCCAAATTTCATTTATAATTTTTTATCTATTGATTTGTTTATATAATTATTTATTTATT